AACAAGAAATGGCCTTGATTGATGTTATCATATTTATGATCTGACCAATCCTTTATCATGGTAAACAAAATCATTATGAAAGCTGCGGTGTTTTATAAGGATTTCCAGCCCTGAGAAAAGCTGTAATTTAACACGTGTAAAATTACGATAGTTTTACTGTGATGATATCGATGATGTTTTGTTTGATATCATGCTTGACCCTATAAAGCCGTTTACAATTGAGTGTCGACAGCAATCAGGCAATTACTTTGGTTTTTGTTTTGGTTTTAGTAAGGTTTTAGATTGGCTGAGTAGTCTAGTCGGCAAGTAATTGGGTTGGTTTTGGTTTTACGACACTCAGTTGAAAACCGCTCTAACTGTACTTAAATTTTTTGGTGCCTGTATGACCGAAACTTTGGAGGTAACCTTTGGAAAATGTTCGGAAACGTTCGTGTGGCCTTCGGGCAACTTTTGGGGAATTTTCGGAAATCTTCGCAAAATCGTCAAAAATAATACAAGATTGCTTGAAGAAAATAAGTATTATTTTTAGGACATTTTATGCGTCGAAAGATTTCTTCAGATGCTTCAGAAAACCTGCCCAACCCTCACCTCCGCCGACGACAATACGTTCCGTAAAGGCTTTACCACGCTCGTTTATAATAATAATTATAATAATCAACTTTACTTATTGAGGATAGCACACAACAGTAATCACTGAAAAACCAGTGGCCCTCATATAAATATTTACAGAATAAAAAAGATGACGTGTTAAAAATTAAAAATATAGAAAGATTCTCAAATATGTTTCGGGGCGCAAGTGAGTTCAAAAAAAAAATATTAAAAAGCAAAGCATTGGATCAAGTCTAACAATTAAAACAAGAAAATTAAAAATTTAGATGATTAAATGGTCCAATTCCTTATAACTGTCCATATAATGTTTAAAAATGGATTTTTTGAAGCTTGCAAGATGAGGTTGGTTTTTAATATGGGCAGGCATCATATTCCAGAGACGGCTAGTCGATACTGAGAAAGACCTTCCACCCTCAGTCTCCCGTTTGAATCGGGGGCAGACAAGGTTTAATTGACCATGCCTGCTCGTTCTTCTGTTCACGTCTGCATTCCTAACAAGCATCTGGGTAAGATAAAATGGGCACTTCCCTAGAATCCGTTTATATACCAATATTGACTTATTTATTTTCGCTTCATGGTAAAATGGAGCCCAACCTAATTGTTTGGTGAATCAAATGTTTTGGTTGAGAATGGTATTTTTGACAGTTGTGAAGTATTCTGTCTTAACATGCAGTCTGTCCACACTGTAATAAAGCCGCCTTAGATGAACCTCTCAAGTCGATTGGCCAACGGGCGGTCAAATATATCTCACTTCTGCGGGGGCAGTCCTGTATGTTAAGCTCTGCTGCCGACGACGCACTTTCTTTGAAAGAAAATTGTTGTAGGAAAAACGTTGGTTATGAAATGATAATATTCAGACTAGTTGAGTGACACATTTTAATTCTCAGTCTTATCAATCAAACTTAATATTTTCTATTTTGCCCATAGATTTAACTTAACAGGAACATCGACTCCATCACGTTGCAGCCGTCGAAGGAAAAAATAAGCCCGTGACGTGCAATGATAAGATAACACAAGATACAGATATGATATGGCGGGATAACAGTATAGACAGATCCTTAAAATACAGTATGGCCCGGGGTTAATAAGATACAATCCTCTCATTGAATCCTACAAGTTATTCTGCCGTACGAAAAAGAATGCCACCCATTACCGCTGATCACATACAGACATGCCACATCTACCGCAACCAAGAAAATATGGCTTCAAGTACATATTTAATGACCGACTCGGTTCGAAGGCGTCCTTGTGTAAAAATTTCCTGATTTTGAAACTGCTCGAAGGCAAATTGTCTTTGCTTTAATTGACTTTTAATCAGTAGAAAGTCGCCTTCAAAGAACGCGGTGCAACCACATTTCAGTTGGACACAAAATAAGACGAAGCGGCCATGATTACAAACCGAAGCTCGTTATTTCCTAACAGATATAGTACAAGCAAATCAAAACTCTTTCTTCTCTGGCTGAGAGAGGATGTGTAATGATAAATGATCTACTGAGCACGTTATGTTCATTTAATGTTCAAGACATGCTATTTGTCAAATCGCAAGACCATTAACCAACACACGATTTCGATTGGCTCGGATCTCTGACTCCTGCTTTTCAGTCAACCCTAGTTTACAGCTGGCTCCATATTGTCAAAAAGCTATAATTAAGCAAAACAGTGAAATGCATTACAGCCCTGTTTTAATAATTAGATGCTGGAGCACAAGCTTGGCAATCTCATAAAATGGCGTGTTGTTTACTCGAAGAGCCCTAGATGTCACTAAAAACCAACGATAAGTCAAGAGAAATTTAATTTTGAGCAAAGGGCGATGAACATGCTACGTTATATTTCGGGTAAGTTTTTACTCTTTATAAAATTTTTATTGGGTGAAGCCTTATAAAAACCTCAGAAAGGTTCGGTTTAGTATTTAAAATTCATTAACATTTATATATACAGAGACTCTCTTGTTCCATTCCGGTGAATTCATGTTTCATGTGCTGGAAAAAATTGATTGTTTTCACTTTGATTTCAGTCATCTTCGACTGGATAAGCCAGAGAAGGCACCGCTCTAACTAATTTACTAACTGAGTTTATTTAAAAGGTGGCTTATTGTCTCCCAAACACTAACTGTCGAACGCGCGATCTTCGACAAGATTATCGCAAAAAAAAAAAAAAATGATAGCGTGTATGGTGACTTAGGGTCCTCCTAGTTTTGACATCGACTGGTTCGGGATCATCAATACAGTTTTTCAATACATTTCACAACATACAGTCGGGCATCACAGTGCAATTAGAAGGGGCTGGCTTTTATTGCTGGTTTTTGGCCTTTCATTATTTTAAATGCGGAAGTCTATTGTTTTACTCCTGAAAGAATTGTCATGTTTTGTGAAATCGTCGTCGAATCGGCCTCTGTTATTCGTAGCGTCTCACTCGCGAGGACAATGTTTCAATTTCCAATCCCTTTCTTTTTTTTTTTTTTTCAATTTCTCAAAGCTTTAAAACGTGGATGTGTTTTAAGCCTGTCGAACCAGATGGTCATCATTACATTAGTTTTATTTTATGGGTTTGTAAATAAGAGAAGGTAGGAGAGCTAAAATGTTTTATCATAAAATATCTAGATCGAGTCACGCGATATAACCGTGAAAAATATCTTTATCTTACGCATTTAAGAGTTTTTCAACGTAAAAATTTACATATCATACAATTAAAAGGCATTTACAGCCGTAGAAATTTCTAATTCGGTATCAGTGAGTCTGCAGTGTAAAGAAACACGAACCTTCTCTAACAATATTATTTTAATTAACACGAAATTCTTCAAAAGGAGAACAAAATCTCAAAACTAGATTGTTGAAAAAAAAAAAAAAAAAGCGTGCATGTTGTTCGCGCCCTCAGAGGGAACGCGATAAATATTACCTCAGCGGAAGCTATTTTTTCACAACCGGAGCGGTAAACCAAATTGACATCTTGGCGGGGAATAACTGGCGTTACTGACCCTCTTGGCTTGTGAAGAATGACTGATTATCAGTCTTATAATGAAGAAGGGTATGAGTTTGATATGTGTATCACACTCCCTAACTTTGTGCAAGTACATTTAACAAAAATAAAGAGATTCAAGAACCACCTTGTAGAATTATTCAAGAACCACCTTATTCTTCATTTCAAGCGCGGATTTGTTGGACCGGTATCCTAGCAGCGTTTATGGAAGAAAATGAAGCAATTCCCGGCCGCCATTGTGTTTTAAAAGCAACCATCTTATGCTGAAATGGCAGCTGTTTACAGTATTCGGTGCTTTTGGTGAAAATCAAAGTTGAAACCGAAGCAAAATAAACCTACACAATAAATGAAGGAAACCAATTAATACCTTGTTTGTTGTGCTACAAACAGGTCTTCTTGCATGCAGTTCAGATGACTTAGCTAATGTCGTGAATTTCATAGTCAGTGTGAAGCTTGCGTTGAATCAAGCGAAATGACAGTCACAATTTTGATCAAAAACTTGAATAGACATATCAAAAGCTGGCCTATATTCAGTTGTCTTCTCTGGTAAGTTATGTCAAATTAAAAAAGCGCTGGTAAAATTACTCATCATTTTACATATTGTTAATTACAATTTATTCCAACGTTTTAAAATCAACCAATCACAAACACTTTTAGAATGGCAAAACAGTGACGTCACATAGGAAGACCTTAATTGGAGGCGACCGAAAGGGGTGAATAAAATTGAAAATGTCTATCTAAGCTGTAGCAGTTTGTGAGCCTTTTGAATAATGAATAACCTTAAAGGCATATCAATTAAGTTTGAAGTTAAATCGCCGCGTTTAGTCAGTCAGTCAGTCAGTCAGTCAGTCAGTCAGTCAGTCAGTCAGTCAGTCAGTCGTTTATAAATGACCTAAAGTTCTAGAGCTAAATTGTGCAATTAATTATAGAGCGAACGGCGGTTTTTTAAAAGCCAAGCGTTTAAAACCAATAGTTCTGAGACTGCTTGACTATTGTTGACTTTTCTCGTTGACGGTACCTGTCATTTAGTTAGAGCTATAGCTAAATAAGTTCTTATTACCTATGATATATGTTTTTGATATTTCCAAAATCATGCTGAAAATGGTGACAGTGTCCCTTTTAACTGTGAACTGCAGCAGTCGACCGCTAATTACCCAAAGTTACTTTCTTATTGCATAACTTTAGGGACCATTTCGTGAATTTATAACAGTTTTAAGCAAATGTTTTGTAACAGTGTTCCTTTAACGGTTAACTCCAGAATAAACTTCACGCAATGCTCGCATTCTCGCACTAGGAAATTTGATCATATCACCCCTGTCCTAAAACAGCTCCACTGGTTACCTGTTTGCTACCGTATAATTTTTAAAATTCTCCTACTGGTCTACAAA